AGAATGTGTCAACTGACAGGTGGAGAGAAACGAAAAGAGGAATTTTTAAGCCGTTGGTTAATTCCAGACACATGATGTTGCGCCACTCTTAAGGCAGCTGGGAAGTGTTTAAGACAAGACGTACGTATAGAATCTGATCATTGGTCAGCTTGATATGTCCATTTCCTGATTGAAATGGACATATCAAGCTGGCCGGATTGACTGGACGTTCATCTTCGCTTCGGATAAGCCGGCAAAACGGCGAACGAGAAAGAAGATAGGGAAAGATCTTGCTTGATCGCCTCGCAGACATCTTTGGTTGTTAATAAACGAATTTCTTCTAACGGAGTGAGAAAATCAGGAATCGAACCAACATGCTAATGCTAACTTAGGAAATGTGACCACGCCCAATTTGCTCTTTGGGAAAGTGGGACAAAGAAATAAGGAACTTGTTTTTTTTGGGTTTTTTTTTTTTTTTGATTGATTCAGTTACTTTTTTACGGCTTAACAACATTTTTGATGTTATTTAAATCCGAAACGTCTTTTTGGATTGTAACAATATTTTTCAGAGATAATAATAATATTCTTGTATTATTTTTATTTTTATAATAAGCAAGGCAGTACAACAACTAAGACGGAAGGGATTACTAGGTGTGAAAGAATTAGTGACAGAAACCTTAATAATGAGCGGGAAGAGGAAAGAGTAATCAGGAGGACAGTAGATAGCGATTGACATTGCATTTAAATTTTTGAAGATTAAAATTGGCTGGTAAGCATGGATCCTAAAGGAAGTTTCACAAAGAAGGCATTAAAGTCACTACGACACAAGAAGTTATACTAATTGAGGAAGAATTGGGAACAGAAACATTAATAATGAGCGGGAACAGGAAAGAGTAATCATGCGGACAGTAGATAGCGATTGACATTGCATTTAAATTTTGGCAGATTAAAGCTGGCTGGAAAACATGTATCTCAATCTGTTCATATCTATCTATCTATCAATCTATCTATTTTTAAATTTCTGTCTGCTTATATCTATCTATCCATCTCTATATATATCTACCTCGATCTCTCTATAAACATGCATATATATATATATATATATATATATATATATATATATGTGTGTGTGTGTGTATGAAAATGTATGTATATACATACATACATGCGAGGAAATATTATTCAGTGGAAAAATAAAATATGACACGTATACATTCACGAGACATTCACGAAATTTTCGCTAACTCCCCAATCTTTGAATTTCAACATACAAATGCGTATGTATAGACACAACACCACCTGTATACATACATATGTCATATCCATTATTTGCTCACATATGTTTATGTATGTATGAGTCCCGACGGACGATCAATATGTATATGTGTCTGCGTACTCCATTAAAATACGTGAGTATGCATCGATGTTCGCGTCGGTACGATGACACAACGAGGACATTTCCCCAACTACTTAACAATAACACCAATACACACAATCTACATAAATTTTTAATGTTAAAAAATTAAAAAATTAAACAGTTTGTCTGACGATCGCTAAAGCGTGAAACCCAGGGTCACAAGATTCACATCTATCCAATAAAATATATATATATATATATATATATATATATATATATATATGGACATTTGGACAGTTTTTACACAATCTCTGTCCAGAAAAGTTTGCTCTTTTCTTTAAAAGACACAAGAAGAATTAAATAAAAAACGTAACTGTAGTACCTTGTCTGTCGTTGTTAATGAAACATGCATAAACGAAGGATTGCTGCCTATATATATATATATATATATATATATATATATATATATATATCAATCAACTTCTCGAAAGCAACTCTATGCGGCTGCTCGGTCTCACGTTGACTGCTGACCTGAGATGGAACAAATACATTGAGTCAATTGCTTCGTCCACCGCAAGGAAAGTTGGCGCCCTGTGTCGCGCCAGGAAATTTTTCTCCCCGGAATCGATCCTTCAGATCTACAAATCAACAATTCGCCCTTGCATGGAGTATTGCTGCCATATATGGTCTGGTACCCCTTCTGTTTGCCTCGGGGTACTTGATAGGCTCCTGAGGAGGATATTGGCTCTGTTCTGGCATCTCGTCTACAGTCACTCTCTCACAGACGCGCCGTCGCCTCTCTCTGTCCTTTTTTACAAATTCTTTCATGGTAATTGCTCCGAGGAGCTGCATTCGCTGGTTCCCAGACTTCATGAGTTCCAGCGCCCTACGAGGCTGGCATCCCGCTCTCACCCTTTCACTGTCGAAACTCCTAAATGTAGGCGTCACTTCTACTCTAATAACTTCATATCTCGCACCTCTCGCCTGTGGAACTCCCTTCCCTATTCCAGTTTCCCTGAGAGCTATAATCTCCAACTATTCAAATGTAATGTCAATCGACATCTCCAGTTGCCTTGATCTATCCACTATCCTTCTCCTCATCTTTTCCTCTATCACTCCTATCTGATCTTGTTCCAAATTTTCTGTAACCCCTTGCGTCCTAGTGGCTTCTCGCCTTGCTTGTGGTGAAACGCTTAAAAAATGTTTGTTCATATATATATATATATATATATATATATATATAAAATATATATATATATATGTGTGTGTGTGTATTTTTCTCATCTATCTATCAGTCTGTCTCTGCCCGTTAAGATCTATCTATGTCATATATCTATTTATGTTCATATCTATCTAATCTATCTATCATGTGTGTGTGTGTGTATTTTCATATATATTTATCTATCGAACTATCTCAGGCTGTTCTTGTCTATCTATCTATCTATGTTCATATATATATATATATATATATATATATATATATATGTATGTATGTATGTATGTATCGCTCTCTGTCTTTTCTATCCATGTATCTGTCACATTTTAAAAATATCTATCTAAATATATTTTTATAGACAGATGCATGCACCCTGTATGTGTGTGTCTCAAGGTCAACGCCTTATATTGAATTTTATTAGATGAGGCATTGTCCGCCATTATGAATTCTCGCCAGGTATGTCTTTCAATTTTATTTCAGTTGCATTTCACCGCAAATACTCATGTGAAACAACTCAATGCAGGTGCAAAACATATTCTGGAAACAAAAAAAAACTGTCTCTAAGCCGCAAAAACGAAAGATTTAGACCTGGTTTTATCGCCGATGAACGCTACTGTGTCAAGTACAGAGTTGGTTCATTGAAACTCAAAGGTGACAGCCTATTACAAATACCGCTGTCAAGCCAAATCATCGTAAATGAATTCAAGATTGACCTTTTACAAGTACAGAAATATAAACATGGTGATCATAGTCTTTTTTGTTCTAATTATTTTTATAAATAAATGCTTTCTAAAATGACTGATTTCATTCTGCAACAGCAATTAAAAGATAAAAGGAAGAAAAAAAAGTTTAATTTAAATGTATTAATATTACAATTCTTGAGGATTTTCAAAATATCATTTGCAAACTGATTGATCAAAAAAAAGGAAGAAATCAAAGAAAATCGTTTCCAATTAAAAAATTCTATCTATCTATCATAATTGTTCATATATCTATCTATCTATATATATATATATATATATATATATATATATATATATATATATATATATATTTGAACAATAAAATATATTAAAAATTAGAATATTCAGACATACTGGGTTGTATATTAATATTCCTTCGTTTTTATTATTATTTCATTTAGATTCCTCGACTAGTTTCGGCCAAAATGGCCATCATCAGGAGAAAAGTAAATTTCTGCTTGCTGGTAGCAATGAAATACAGATGTATATATATATAAATGCCTGTTCAAATCTATTGTCATATCTATCTTTCTATCTATCTATCTATCTATCTATCTATCTATCCCTGTTCAAATCCTGTTCAAATCTAAATATCTATCTATCTATCTATATATATATATATATATATATATATATATATATATATATATATATATATATTCCTACTGATATATTGATATATCTATCTATTGAAACTGATATATCTAAATATCTACAAAATTCATATCTATCTATCTAAAATTCATTCTATCTATCTATCTATTCAAAACATCTACCCATATGTATTTTCGAACAAAAGTAATTATCAAAACGAGTTGAAATAAACGGATAAATAGAAGAAATCTTTTGAAGATTGATACTAACTATTTATCTATCTAACTATATATGTATTTTCAAATCTACCTACGTATGTATATATGTCTATTTATCTGTTCAAATCTATCTATCGCTCTAAGTATACATCTATTTATCAATGCATGTTCAAATCAATCAATCTATGTATCTATGTAACTATGTATGTATGTATCTATCTATCTATTGATCTGTTTATATCTATCTATCTACGTACTTACATACAGCCTGTTAATTTCTATGTATATAGGTCCAAATATATTTATCTGTGTGTGTGTGTGTGTTCAAACCTATTATCTATCTATCTACCACCTTATCTTGTCTTGTAGAACATCAGTTCTTCATGTTGAAAAAATGCTAAATAACCAACAAACCGAAATCAGTTTTGTCAAATCTGAGAACGTGATTGAATAGATAGTTCTATAATTTCAGAGCCTCATAGAAGTGATGACGCGTCACAGAGGTGCAATTTATTAAGTGACTACAATTTTTGACACTTCTTCGTATTAGAGAAAGGCATTGGATCAGAGGTCGAAGTTTCGGGGTTCTTTTTTTTTTTTAATCTTTAGAAAGATAATTATTTTGATAGATCATATGCCAACACCCTTTTGCAGACAATTAATCACTTCAATCTGAAGCAAACCGCTGATTTAATCAATTAAGATGTCAGATAATGATGCCTTACGAAAGCGCCGGTGAAGGATGATAGAGGTGACTCGTTTTCAAACCGACATCAATTGTAAAGAGCGTACACACATGTTCGGCTTTCATCATTGAGATCTCCGCGATAAAATCGACAAGAAATACACTCAACAAGTTAAAAACAGTAAATAGGGAATAACCGTCTATCCTCTCACGCGAGATAGATAAGAACAGACTGAGATAGATAGATAGATAGATAGATAGATAGATAGATAGATAGATAGATATGAACAGACTGAGATAGATAGATAGATAGATAGATAGATAGATAGATAGATAGATAGATAATGAACTAATTGAGATAGATCGATAGACATGAAAAAACTGTTAGATAGATACATATATACATACATATATATGACCATACTGATAGATAGATAGATAGATATTAACAGACAGACAGATAGATAGACAGATAATGAAAATAATGTGATAGATAGATAGATATGAACTAATGAAAAAATTTTAGATAGATAAATAGATAGATAGATAGATACATACATATATATGAACAGACTGATAGATAGATAGATAGATAGATAGATAGATAGATAGATAGATAGATAATGAAAAGAGTGTGATAAATAGATATTAACAGAGTATTAGGTAGAAAAATAGATAGATAATGAAAAGAATGTGAACGATAGATAGATAGATAGATAGATAGATAGATAGATAGATAGATAGATATTAACAGACTATTAGATAGATAGATAGATAGATAGATAGATAGATAGATAGATAGATAGATGAGTAAGAATAGGCTCTGATAGATAGATAGATAGATAGATAGATAGATAGATAGATAGATAGATATGAACTAATTGAGATAGATCGATAGACATGAAAAATTGTCAGATAGATACTTACATACATATGAACAGACTGATAGATAGATAGATAGATAGATAGATAATGAAAAGAATGTGATAAATAGATAGATAGATAGATAGATAGATAGATAACTAATTGAGATAGATCGATAGACATGAAAAACTGTTAGATAGATAGATAGATATGAACATACTGATAGATAGATATTAACAGACAGACAAACAGATAGATAGATAGATAGATAGATAGATAGATAGATAGATAGATAATGAACAGAATGTGATAGATAGATAGATATGAACTAATGAAAAAATTTAGATAGATAAATAGATAGATATATACATACATACATATATATGAACAGACTGATAGATAGATAGATAGATAGATAGATAGATAATGAAAAGAATGTGATAAATAGATAGATATTAACAGAGTATTAGATAGAAAGATAGATAGATAATGAAAAGAATGTGAAAGATAGATAGATAGATAGATAATGAAAGAAATGTGATAGATAGATATTAACAAACTATTAGATAGATAGATAGATAGATAGATAGATAGATAGATAATAAAAAGAATAATATAGATAGATAGATAGATAGATAGATAGATAGATAGATAGATAGATAGATAGATAATGAACGCAAATGTGGAGAAAATCCAGAACGCACCTGGTTATATCGTAAGAATAAAATAAAAAAAGGAGTCAATTACTAGTGTAAGTTATAAACTACTTGATATCTTTATACCACTCGAGGGAGAACAAAAGTTACACGACAGTGTGAAGAGGTTTTCACCGGATGAATATATATAAAAAAAAACATTATTATCAATTGTCGGGTAGATTGCACATCGCCCACCATCAGTGTCAGCCTATGTCGTCTGCTTATTCAAATTACGGCATGCTTCATGTTTCTTTTTAGTTCTAATACATTTACTTTCAATTCAATTAACACGTCGTAAAGAAATGCCCTGTTGGTTGGTAAATTCTGTGGGAGATTATTGCATTAAAACTTGAAAATAGGTGACCTCACATCTGGTCTTTCGTCTGCTAATCTATTTGTTTTATTTTCAACTTTTTGTCAGCCATGTTTGTTGTTCATTTACTTTGATAAATCTTCCTTTTTCGCATTTTTTATTTATTTATTTTTTTGTTTTCTTTTTTTGGTTTTCCTGGTTTTCGTCTCAAATCTTCATCAGGTTCCTCTAACCGACGTCTGCTTCTTCGCATTTACCGAAAACGATTTAAACTTATTTTTGTTAGCCGAAAATAAAATAAAATAAAATAAAAAACAATTATGAAGAAACGTAAATCATTGACTCACCCTTTTTCTTTATTTACTTACGACGGCCATTGCTTCATCACCAGGTGATATACTAACGTCATGAATAGTTCATCACTTCAATTATCAAAGAAAAAATCGGCCTTAGTTAACTCCATTGTCAGGTGACGTAAGATTTAGGAATGGCGTTTGAAACGCATTTCTTCAAGCAGATGGTCCGTTTGCAAAAACAATTTTTTTTTAAATCGAGAATTTAAAAGACAGAAGTTAATAAATACTGATTAAATTCAATCCTAGAAATGACTACTAAAAACATACACCTCCTGAAATTTATCAACAAATCCTACATGTGAACTTTCTTCCTAACTAACAAAACCGGAAGCAGTTTTCGGTCTCATCCGCCATATTATTTTGTTGCAAGTAATCCAAATGCTCCCGATTTTTTTTTAATCAATCCACCTCTTGCAAAGCAATAATTCCACTAAGACGCAAGGATTTACTGGGTGTGAAAGATAACGAAAAAGATTTTTTTATAACGAAACGGAAACAAAATTATGACCAGGATACAAGGGAAAAAGCACTCAGAACAGAGATGATTTCGATCCGAACGATAGATTAACCCACTCCCCCTTATTGAAAAGACGAAAAACAGATAGATAGATAGATAGATAGATAGATAGATAGATAGATATGAACGGATTGAGATAGATAGATAGATAGATAGATAGATAGATAGATAGATCAAAAAGGTATTGCTGGTAATATTTTTTTTTATTTCAAAGTATTTAAATCCTATTGTTACACGAGTTGAGCTGTTAACTATTTGCCCATAGCTGGGACCCTAACCGGGTCAAGATGGATCTGGGAACACCAGCAATTAAGTGGTGGTTCCACTCTCCTCCAAACCTCCTGATCAGAGGTCTTGCGGTTGGACGTAGTTTATCGTCTTACCCAGGACGGGATGACACAGTACTGATAGCAGACAAGGAAAAGTAATTACAAAGCCTCATACAGAGTGTAGCGAAGGAGAGTGAGAAGAAGGGACTAAGCACAAACTACAAGACAGAATGCATGGTAAAAGGATGAACCTCAAATGCGATTTGCAGGTAGGGGACACTAAAATCAAGCAGTAATGGAAGTTTAAATATCTGGGAAGCGTTCTGATAGGGGGGCGGTAAATGTGACACAGAGATCCGTAGACGTATAGGAATGACCAAGGACACATTCCAAAATCTGGGCAGAGTATTACAAGACAAGAGGATTTCTTTGGGAACATAGAAAAGAGTCCTGAGCTGTTACGTGACATCTGTCCTTCTTTACGGCAGCGAATGTTGAACGATTTCCTCAAAGATGAAGAAGATACTCGAGGCGACAGAGATGTGGTTCTACAGAAGGATGATGAGGATATCATGAACCGAGCGTGTGAGCAACGATGAGATCTTAGAGAGGATGTAAACAAGGAGGAGGCTTATACTTAACATCAGGAAGAGGCAGCTGAAAAACTATGGGACGAAATGTGAAAAGAGAATTTGGAGAATTTTGATGTAACAGGTCGAATAGAGGGAACAAGCAAATGGGTGACAGAACGTGGTCTGGGAAAGTGGCAGAGGGACGAAACTTATTGAGAGCTACAAGGGATAGGGAGGAAGTGGAGAGCCATGATCGCCTACGTCCTGAATGGACACGGCACATGAAAAGAAAATAACATCAACCTACCCCGTACTTTAATGTTACCCGCCTTAACTTACCTACCTAAGTTTTTGAATCAGCATTTGCTTGACAATCATCAAAAGTCTACCGTTTTCCAGCAAACCTTTCGTGAGTGAACCACTCTCAAAGATGTTAATAATTTTGAAGTTTGAATAATAGTAGAATTGCATTTTATTCATTTACACAGGGAGCAATGGGTAAATTCACGCCACTTTGATTTTAATTTCGTGCAAGCACCTGGTTTGTTTTTGTTTTTGTCAACTGCACAATATAGTGGGGTCAGTTGGGCACCATCCGTGAGAACAGGACCACCATGACGCAATTCCCTCCGCTTGTAAACGGCATGCTGTACTACTTGGCATTCGCACCAGAAACTCTAATACGAACATTCCAGAGTGTTTGGGAGTCAATCTGAGGATACTACAGAGGATTTAGAAAGAGTTGAATGAGTCTAATGCTGATTACGAAGATGTTTGGAGTGATCACGAGTGATGGTGACGTTATGCCTCCATTCAGCTTCCCACTTACCCTCGGACGGAGCTTTAAAACAAGTACCTTGAGGAAGAGGTAGTGCTGCCCAGGGCCAAGAGGATGGCTCCTGGAAGACCCTATGCCTAGCAACAGGAATCTACACCATGGCTGTCATACAATTTCCTTCATACATCATTAATTTTACATCTAGCCAACTAACTTCCCAGACTGATTTCTCCTTGATTATTACGTGCAGGGCACAGTTGAGCGAGCGACCGACAAAACCCTCGAACTGAAGGCAAGGGTTTATGACATCATTAACAAACTGTAGCAAGGAGACTGCCCAGAAGAGTTGCAGAAGATTCCGAAGTCGTCCGAAGGTCGTTATTGACAATTTTATTGAATAAATTTATTCTTTGCTACCACATCATCATTTACATCTGGCTACCTAACTCCCCAGACTTTGATTATTGTGTGTGGGTCTCACTTGTGCAAGGGACCAGAAAAAACTCCTTTTAACACCAAAGATAAATTGAATGAAAGGATTATGGCAACATTCACCAACTTAAACAAGGAGACCATCCAGAAGATTTGCTAGTGATTGAAGAAGTTGTCTGGATCTATTGTTGAAGCCAATTTTTTTTTATCGAAAAAATTTACTCTTTACTAATTCGAGATATTTTTGTGTAATTTTAGTAAATCTTCTAAAAGAAGACGTCAGTTGAAAAAACAAATGAAATCTTTGAGATTTAATTAGACTAATTCGATTGGTTTTACAGTTCTGGGATTTTCCAACGTTAAATTAAGATGGAGAGACGTCTGGTGATACTACGATAAGGCTTACATCAGATATGGATTACGATAAGGCTTACATCTGATATGGATTACGATATGTCTTACATCAGATATGAATTACAATAAGTCTTACATCTGATATGAATTATGATAAGTCTTACATCAGATATGGATTACAATAAATCTTACATCAGATATGGATTACGATAAGTCTTACATGAGATACGGATTACAATAAGTCTAACATCAGATATTGATTGCGATAAGTCTTACATCTGATATGGATTACAATAAGTCTAACATCAGATGTTGATAGCGATAAGTCTTACATCAGATATTGATTGCAATAAGTCTTACATCAGATATTGATGGCGATAAGTCTTACATCAGATATTGATTGCGATAAGTTTTACATCAGATATGGATTACAATAAGTCTTACATCTGATATGGATTGCGATAAGTCTTACATCAGATATGGATTACAATAAGTCTTACATCAGATATTGATTACGATAAGTATTACATCAAATATCGATTACGATAAGTATTACATCAAATATTGATTACGGTTAGTCTTACATCCGATATGGATAAAGGGAGATAACTCGATATGAACAGCTTTAAATATCATTGATTGATTGATTCGTTGTCTACGGCTCATCAATGGAGATATTCATGATTTAGGATTATATGTCTTATTTATTAAAGACATATTTTTATGTTTAACGTTGTTATTTTATAGATACAAGTATGAAAAATAAATGCTCTGTTTATGATAAACAGTATTAAATATCATTTACCGGCCTGAATGTAGAGAAATTTTCATAGAAAAATTTTCGTTCTTTGACATTTTTGAAAAAACAAAATTCAGGATAGAACAAAATTTAAAAAACAAAAAACAGAAATTCATGAATAAACAAATATTTTACAATTTATAAACTAAAAATCTAAAAAAGATTTGTTATACATTTTTAAATTTTTATCGGACCATTGTCCATTTCTTAATATATTATATGTATGTTAATTAATATATACAGATACTTATATATAATGTGACAGACGTCCCTAACCGCAGCGTCGACTGTGTCGTTGATCATTCATTAAATTTTCCAAATAAACTCCTTATCCTGATATCTGTGACGTCTTCGCCGCGGCGTCTTCGTTCGCTCCTCGCTGCTCCGTCCGGTGTCGCTGCTCCAAACGTGACGTTCTAACCCTTTGGTTAGATTGATACCAGCCTCGCCGTTCCCAACCTGCTTCCAACGCCTGGTTACCAGGGTAACTGCACTGATCTCCAGTCTGCCTACCCACGTTGTGAATTGATCTTAGACAGACGAGATCAAACAGGGGTTGGGGCCGTAATGCAAGCTGAGTTCAACGGGGGTGATAACACACAATTATGTATAAAAAAAATAAAATAAAAACTCACAAGTCCAAAGTATCAAAGAAAAAAGGTAACAAACTTTTTATGTCTATTTGCTCGGTACATAGGACTATGTCTACTTCCCGACCCGTTCTGTGGATTGTGGCACGACGCTTTTCACTAGGCAACTTTAAGGCTTCAAGTTGTCTGCTCTCTAAGAAATTTGTGTTTCGGTGTGTCTTTGGACGAAAGTCGAAAAAAACTTATTTCTGTGGTCTGATTCTAAGTCGCTCTTCAAACTACTTGTTCTTGGTTGAAGAAGAGTCCAGAAGTGTGCGTGAATCTTGGTCAGCTATCTTGACGCGGTTTCAACACTGGGCGCTCATCTCTGCTTCGTCAACTCAATTGTCCAAGGTTCAAAACTTCTCGCCAGGGTCCGCGGCTCAACTCAAACTTCAACTCAATCTCCGGCTTGTCCGAACGAACTGATTTCTGTCGGTTGGGGTTTCGTTTTTTATTGACGCCGTCAAAACTGGGGTGGGTCTGTCGGCGCCAGGGGTTCTTCGATAATTCTAAATACGTATCCACCCTTCTTATTTCTGGTTAGGGATTTTTCATTCTTTTCCATTTTCGGTAACACCCTTCTTATTTCTAGGGATTTTCCATTTCTCACTCCCCTCTCCTTACTGTGCCTCTGAGGGCGTGTACCCACTTCCCCACTTCTTCGTATCGGCTCCTCACACTTACACTTCTGATAGGGCGTCGACCGATTTTCCTCGTGCGTCACGTGACCGCTCTCTCGACCAATGAGGTCCTGGTCAGGTATCTTTCCTCCTCCTTCGTATGTCATGTGATCTATTTAGCCAATGACGTCTTAGTCGAGCGTGGACAATCCGTGGCTTTGTTTTGGGAAAGAAATACCTTGCTTAAAAAACAAAAATATTAATTAAATCGCCCTTATCATGAGCGACTGAGATGACACTCTCGGCTTTTTAACAAGTGGTCTTTGTCAAGCAGTTTATCGCTAATTGGATATGATCTAAGAAAGGAATTTCTCAGACTAGTTGGCGTTTCTGAAGCGAAAATAAAAATATTTCATTTTCCTTTCGCTCGAAGTTTGATAACAAAAATCTTTATTATCGTAGGGCGGGCATTTATTCTGTCAAAAGAAAAATTTTGCCAGTGACAACATCTTGTGTGGGCTTTTTCTAATTCTGAAGACTGTCTGTGTTTTCGTATTAATGGTTTGTCTTCATATTCTTAGATACACTTCCCCACCCACTTAGACCTCTACTATCATTCCAAAACTTTCCACTTGTTACTTATCAATATTTTCATTGTCCCTAAACTTCGTTTCTTCTTTTCCTCCTTTCTTTCTTTTCCCTTGGGTGACATCCAATTGATAACAAACTTCCATTTTTCGTGGACACGCGGAAATCGGTCAAATGCTTGTTCCTCAGGTGACCTGAATATTTTCGACACCTGCTATCTATCAGTTCTAGCCGTGTGTGTGTGTGCTCGCCTATGACCTGCTTTCGTATTATTTTTCTTTCCTTCTTCTTCGTTTTCCCTTTCTTTCTCCCAGATCGCTTGAATGTAAAGAAAGAATTATTCTTAAAACCCAAAATATTTTTTGGCCTTAAATAATTATTAAATGGTTGATAAACCGTAAAAAACGAATCATATATCTATGAATATTTCTTTCAACTCGTCAGGTATGCATGGTGCCACACTTCTACAGTTGAAATGGCTACAGGTAACTATAAGATCTATGCACGCAGTTTCTTTCTTTCTCGCTTATGGAACTCTCTTCAGGCTCCATGCTTTCCAGTCAAATTTGATCTTAAAATATTCGAATGCAATGTCAATCGTTATCTACTGTGATTTTGGTTCCTCTTCTATTGTTTTCGCTCCTTAATAATATTTCTCTTTTTTCTTATTTATTCACACTCAGTAACCCCTCGTGTCTTAGTGGCTTTACTGCCTTGCATAGGGTAAAATGATTAGAAAACAAATTTAAATGCAATGTCAATCGTTATCTATCGTCTTCTTGATTCCTCTTCTATTGCTCTTTCCCCATAATAATGTTTCTCTTTTTTCTTATTCTTTTACACTTAGTAACCCGTCGTGTCTTAGTGGCTTTAGTGCCTTCTATACGGTTATTTTTTTAAAAGCGGTAAAAATTCTGGGGTCGATAATGAGGAAGGATTTGACAGGCTTTAATCCAGAACAACGTGGTTTTCTGAAACCAAACCAGATTTTGACTGGCCTCAAGAACTGATGCCCAAAAGTAGACTTAACTTAAAAGACAAAACGATGTAGACCTATCATGACCTGTAGTTAAAGATGGTCTCTCTTGGACAGAACAAGACCAGTCCGCATTTACGTGAAAATTCGGTCCAAGACCACTCCTAAATATTTCAGTTCTAATTTCCACTTCAGTATTTTCACCGAAAACGTATTCAGTCAGTCAGGCTATTTTGTGCTTCCCCCTGCCCAGGAATTATATAAAACTAAATTGAACAAAAGAAGAAACAATTTTAGGTCCAATTCAAAATCATTCCTTCATATTGTTGCTTTGTCAAATTCTCAAAACCTTAGAAAATTTGCCACTAAAAATATAGATAGAAAACCATCTACCCCAAGAGCTTGTGTGGACGGATAGCGACACGTACGGGGTTAAAGATGATGATACAACAAATGTTACTAACATATACAAAAAATAGGAAGTTGTGGAGAGCCATGGTCACCCACATCATGATTTTTTTATATAAATGTACGTTAAAAATCTGATATTATAGTTCTTAATCAGAGATTGTGAATTTGAGGATTTTTTTTGCTCAACAGTGAAAATAAATTCAGCGTCGATCATTCTTTTTATTTTCTCTCAATAGATACAATATTTTCGGAGCGAAAGAAAAATACACCGTGAATCATTTAAATGACACGTTCGTTAATGATAGGTGTGCTATTTACCACGTTACAAAGTTAGATAAATGTTATATGTCATATCTTGAAAAGACAGAGGATTGGTTTAAGGTGGCGAAGAATTGAAAAGATCGATTTTTTTTAGGGGGGAGATGATTTATGTAGATGTCAGTTCAGAAATATGTACTGCGTATATATAGCAGAAAGAAAAAGGGATGAGAAATATTTGAGGGAGGTGGGTGGTAAGATGAGACAAGATAAGAAAGAAAGAAAGAAAGAAAGAAAGAAAGAAAGAAAGAAAGAAAGAAAATGACGATATTCATTTGAAGGAAGAATCACTGGCACGAAAGATGACAAATCGAATAAGAAAAGAAGAAGAAAGAATGTTTTTTTGGAAAAGAAAAGAAATAAAAGAAAGAAAGAAAGAAAGAAAGAAAGAAAGAAAGACGATGTCTAATTGAGAGGAAAAAGGAAGTGGAGAAAAAAGGCCGAAATTCGTTTTAAAAAAAAGAAAGAAAGAAGAAAAGAAATTCTAAAGAAAGAAGAACGATGACCAATTAAGGAGGAGAGAAAAAAATGGTACAAATTCGATTTTAAAAGACGAAAAGAAAAAGAAAAAGAAAGAAAAAAGAAAGAAAGAAAGAAAAAAAAAACAAAAGGACTATGGTTAATGAGATAAAGAGAGGAAGGGGAAAAAAGGTACGAATTTGAACCGAAAAGAAAGAAAGAAAGAAAGAAAGAACGATGTTCAATTGAGGGGAGAGAGGAAGGGGAAAAAAGGTACGAATTTGAACCGAAAAGAAAGAAAGAAAGAAAGAAAGAAGAACGATGGGTAATTGAGGGGAGAGAGAAAGAGAACAAAAAGGTACAAATACGAACCGAGAAGAAAGAAAGAAAGAAAGAAGTTGACAATAACGTTCTGAAAGAGAAGTTATGGAACGAATGTCAACCCCAAGAAAACAAAAGAAAGACGGTGGCCAATTGAAAGGGATGGGGTGGGGTGGTAGCTGGGAAGAAAACAGGTAATAAGTCGAGCCGAAAATAAAGAAAGACAGACAAAATGCTAGAATGAAGGAAGGCAACAAGTCAAATCCAATAAAATGAAAAAAAAGAAAGAAAATCTAAAAATTAGCTAAAAAAAGAAATTGATCCATCATTTAAGAACAAGTCGTTAACAAGTCGTTCTGGAAAATCTATTTAAAAAGAAAGAAAGAAAGAAAGAAAGTCTCTGTTGAAAGAAATGTAAAGATGGAATCACATAACAGAAGAATCCAAAAAAGAAAGAAAAAAAGAAAGAAAGAAAGAAAGAAAGAAACAACAAGACACTTTTAAAAAAGAAAGAACCATCTCTTTTCAAAAAAAAAAAAAAAACAAGACACACGAAAAAAAAAAAAAGTTTTAAAAAAAAGAAAAGAAAGCCTTCAACAAAAAATCTTGTCGATTATTGAAAACAAATTTTTCTTAACTTAAAGAAAGAAAGAAAGAAAGAAAAGAAAGCAACAAGACACACTGAAAGAAAGAAAGAAAAGAAAGAAAGGTTTTTGTTTGACAAGACACATAGGGAAATAAAAAATATGTTGAGTCATTGCAAAGAAAGAAAGAAATCTAACAAGACAATACAAAAAGAAAGAAAGAAAGAAAGAAAGAAAGAAAAGAAAGCAACAAGACACACTAAAAAGCAAAATTTAAAATGAAAGAAAGAAAGAAAGAAAGCAACAATCTTCACTGAATAAAGAAAGAAAGAAAAAAAGAAAGACCAGTGATTAAAGTAACAAGACACACTGAAAAGAAAGAAAGAAAGAAAGGGAAAAAGAAAAGAATATCTTTTTTGAAAAAAAGAAAAAAGAAAGAAAGAAAGAAAGAAAGAAAGAAAGAAACGTCCAAAATTTTTTCTTCTTGAAAAGAAAATTGAAGAAATAAAAAATAAAAGAATATAAAGAAATAAATATAATATACAATATAAAAGAAATATATATATATATGATCATCTGACATAAAAGATGACAAGGTAAAAAAACAACATGTCGAACGGAGAAAAAGAAAGAAAGAAAGAAAGAAAGAAAGAAAGAAAAATAACGACCAGAAATAGAGAGAGGATTTTAAAGGAAGAAAAAATTTAGAAATTCAAACCGGAAAGAAATATGTTGAATGAAAATGTAAAGAAATAATGAAAAAAAAAAGACGATTTCAATCTGAAAGAAGAATCGCTTGGATGAAAGATGGTAGACATAATAAGAAAGAAAAAAAAAGAAAGAAATTTTTTTTCAATATCTTTTTAAATGAAAAGTGGTTGGAATGAAAGTCAAACACAATAAACAGAAAGAAAAAACGACAAAGGAAAGACGAACCCCAGATGAAAAGAGGCTGGAATGAAAGCAGACAACATGTCGAACCCATTAAAGAGAAAGAAAGAATGAAAACTCTGATTGTAAGGAAATGGTCATGTAAACAGGGTTAAGATTCTGAGAGGAAAGGATGAAGAATAATACATGAAAAAGGATGATAGTTGTCAAAGAGACGTGTTTAAGCATAAATTTTTAAAGTAATTAAAAAAAATAGAAAGGCCGTAATCAGAAAAAATAAAACAAATAACCCTTAATAAAAATGACGAAAAATTTATTCAATCATAGATCATATTCAAAGAAATTTTATTTACTTATTTTTTTTAAATTGGCTAAACTTGTCGTGATTTCAATGTCTGCTGTGTCTTGTTATTGCATGGGGGTCAGAACTTTGAATCACGTCATTTTTTTCATTTCTCTTTTAAAAATTTTTTTATAGAAAAAAGCCCACTTCGAACAATAAATGTCTTGTTTTACTAAATAAAGGGGGTTCCCCTATCTCATACCACGGTTTATCATAAATCAGGGACCGTTTGATAAGAAATAAATTTTAAAGAAGAATCTAGAGTCTGAACCATTAACGTCCTTAAATTGAGTTAAAACTTCTTTTGTCTGAATTTTCATTTTTCCTTTCCAGTTTTAGAGCCTCCATTTTTTTTAATTTTATTTATTTAAAATTTATTTACAGCCAGAAAGAAAAAAAAGTAAACTGTGTAGATGAAAAGTTAAACAATATTTAAACTGAAATATATACGGATTTTTCAGTAAATAATGTTATGTTATTAATTACGTTTTCAGTAAGCCTACTTTCACAAATAACGTCAATAGATAGATAACACATTGAAACAAAATATAAAATTGAATATGACAATAGTCCGAATAATGAAAATAGGGACCCTAATGTATTTGCAAAAATTAGACGGGATTTTGTTTATATGAAACGTTGTGTTTATGTGAACTAAAATACGAACAAATGTATATATAAATTTATTCTGTGTGTGTGTGAGTGTCATCCCAAACAGATATATAGGATAATGTATATTATTTAATAGTAAATATAACGAAAAACACACATAACTATAAATAGATTAAAAAAAAAAAATAGTTTGTATATATTGAAAAAATCCTTGAAAGAATATACAATATATATCCATAAATATATATATATATAATATATATATAGTTATCTCAGTCACTATTGTTTATCTAAAGAATAAATATATATAATTATATTCATATATGCAGTATGGCAACGGCTTATGGTAGAATTTTCCTTCAACACCGACTGTCGCCAATTCAGTAATTTATAAATATGACTAGAGGCAAAATATATTATTAAATATACACTGAACACACAGACAACGAAACAGTCTGTCTGTGGAATATAATATATATATATATATATATATATATATATATATATATAATAAAAGGGAAAATTTTTTAAAATTACATACATATAATTGTTAAATAAATACATATATATATAAAAATCTGTATTGAGAACTATTTTTTTAGAAAGTCAAACCACCCTCCATCCATTATCAAACATATACCCTGGTCAATAGAAAATAGAATTAGCATATAATATATATAACAAGGAAAATATTCCAACAACACAATAGTTTCTATAACACTGCCTTAAAAAAATAGTGGTTATAAAAATGCTAACATTAACTATAGAGAAAATTGCACTGGCAATAAAAAAAAAAAACAGGAAAAAAAAATCATTTGGTATACCCTCCGTTCAACCAAATGGTTAGTATTAAACTAGGACAGAAATTCTTAGCTCTAATTGATAAACACTTCCCCACCAATAGTAAGCTTAGTAATATATTCAATAAGAACACCCTAAAATTGAGTTACAGCTGCTCTGAAAATCTTGAACGTATAATAAAAAAAACACAATAATAAGATCTTGAACAAAACCCCATGCCTAAATAGTATTAATAAAAACCCTGCACTTAAATCAGACAATAAAAGGGAAAAAAATTATGAATTAATTGTAGAAACCTAGAAGACTGCCCATTAGAAAATAAATGCTGCATTAAATCTGTGGTATACCAATGTACTATATCATCCACTGAGAGCCCTAGCACTAATATGATATACATTGGGTCCACGAAGAATAATTTTAAAGATAGATGGAGGCAGCATAAGTTCTCTTTCAATAATATAAATAAAAGAAATCAGACTTCCCTATCTAAATATTTTTGGCATCTGAAGGAAACAAATAGGACACCAAAAGTTAAATGGAAAATTATAAACAAGGACTAGAACATGTAAAACTTGGGATGACCCATGCCCTTTGTGCCTCCATGAAAATTGCACATTATTAAACTTCTAAATAATAATAATCTATTAAACAATAGACATGAGTTAACGGTTTTTTGTCGACATCATCAGATTTTTGGTTTGAATAATTAGCTAAAAAAAAAGCAAAAATATAATAACTTGTTTAATCCATAGCCCAATCATCAGATTCATGGTTTGAATAATTAACTAAAACATGCATACAATATAATAACTTTCATAATCCATAGCCCAAATAAATAGTTTAAATACCCTAAAAAAAAAAGATAACCCTTTATGAAGTCGTCAAAAAAACAAACGTTACGGCAGTTTTTTTTTTATATGCACAAACCCTTTCATAAAAAAAAAAATAAAAAAAAAATAAATAAATCTCCATAGACACGCAAACCAGACGAGGGTTAATACATCTTCCGTTTCAAATTTAGACACCCCCACCTTTCCCCTGACTTGACATCTATGAAAGTAACTCTATACTGATACTTATTATTAACACCCAACACACGCCTACCCAATTTAAACAATTCGCCCTAGCTGTTACCATGGAAATTTTGATTTTTCAATTATTAAAACACGTAAATTTCAGAAATACGTTATTCCAAAAAAAAATTTCGCTTGAAGATGGAACAGAGCTTATTTTTAACTCAATTTAATTCAAATAATTATATTGAAGTTTTCGGCTCTTGTTTTGAAACATGAGACCTCTTATGTAGCGATTTGGAATCATATTTTAAATAAATAATTATATATATATATATATATATATATATATATATATATATATATTATAGGATCATTTTCACATTTATTCAAGATGATCTTCGCCATTTCTAATATTTCTAATAATTTATAGATGAATAGAGAGTGTGTATTCATGTGTATATATATGTATGTATTTTTATGTATATATATATATATATATATATAGATATATTATTTAAAAATTATAACAAATATGTTAGAAAATCCTCTTTGTAGTGATTTTATAACAAATTTAAATATGTTATAATTTTAAATAAAAAATTATATATTGATGATAAAACTCTGTATTGAAACTTATTTAAAGAATAGTAATTATTTGGTTATTGGAATCTATTATAAATGCATCAATCCTATAAACTTTTATATATATATATATATATATATATATATATATATATATATATATATATACCATTGCCTCGATAGAAATATTGAAAACCCCAAAAGGGTCAATTTTTAGAAAATGGGGCAAAAATATATCTATTTTAACGTCTCCAAAAGTAACATCAGTAAATAATAATATTTAAATCATTTCACCGATGAATTGATATTTTAAGCCAATATATATATATATATATATATATATATATATATATATATATATATATATATATAATATTTAAATAAATATATTATTAAAAATAAAAGACAATTATATATGATATGTCGGATTAACAGCCGTTCTAAACTTCATATGTTTATTTTTAATTTCGGTTGGAAATAACGTCCAAAATTGTCCAACATTTCGATTTTTTAATTAAACTTGTCAACCTTCTTAAACTTTTGGTTAAATATGAGCGATTTTCAGACTGTTTATACGGATATTCAAACTTTTAAATTATTGTCGATATTTTCAAAAATTAAATCAATCATACGGAATTTAGAACGGATCCTGAAAAAAATAGACATTCAGGATTAAATTTTTAAAATATATGTTTAAATAATGATCTTTGGATGAATATTTCTCTCTAGTCTCTATCTATATATATATATATATATATATATATATATAGATAAAAGGAAGTGGTAAAATAGTTCAAACGAAGAAAATTGTGTATAAAAAAATTTTGGATCACTAACACACTAAGAAGAGAATTTCTCATATCATCAAGAATATTTAACATCGAAAATAAAAAAAAAATTAATTATTTTTAATAAGGATGGAAATATCTAAGTTTTTGAATGATGAAGGTCGCAAAATTCGCACTGGAAAACTCATGTAAATAAATTTATGGAAAATCAAACAATATTTTTAAAAAAATCCACATTACAAACAAAAACGTTGATCGGTTTCTCTATATTTTTATATATATATATATATATATATATATATATATATATATATATATATATATATATATATATATAAAATTTAGAAATATTTTCCCTGACGATCCGCTTAGGTGAAACCTGGGTAGGTTTGTCTGGGTCACTAAATTTATCTAAAACTCATTAATATGGTTGTATTGAGCTCTTTTTTTTAGTTAATTGTTTAATATCGTGTCATATTTTTTTTTCTTTGGGCTTCAAACCTAGAATATCTTTGATTTTTTCCGACAGATTTTCATGTTTCTAGCTCTTTCTTCATTAAAAGAATTTTTTTCATTCGAGATTGATTGAATTATTGGCAAATCAAAATTTCAAAGGTTTTTCTAAAAATTAGTATAGTTATCTATCTATCTATATATATATATATATATATATATATATATATATATATATATATATATATATAAATAAAAAAGGCTTAAACACTAATATTCCATGGTCATAAATTTATTCCATTGGAATAGATGAATACAATCCAATTCATCAGACCTACAAATCAAAAAAAGGAAACAGAAAAAAAACCCAACTCCGGAAATAAAAACAGAATTTAGAGAGAATCCTAAATATGAGGAGAAGGAAGATAATTAAACAAAACAGAGAGAATTTTAGGAGATTTATTGATGGATGGAATAATTTTAAAACAGAGAAATATGA